CTGTAGAGGCTCTGTCTATCAAGACATCTCTCCTTCAAGTGTTGGTGATTCTGAAGCAAAGCTACAGAAGCAAGGCTACTGAAGTAAAGCATCAGAAGCAAAGCAACTGAGGCAGTAGACACTTTCATTTGGTATCAGTATAGATTCAGAAGAAAGGCTACAGAGGCAAGGTACACAAGCTATAGAGGCAAATGTCAGAAGAATCTGAGAAGCAACTCTACAGAAGACTCTAAGCAGTTGGTTGATATGTCAGCAACACAGCTCACTTCTGGATAACAAGGAATCCTAAAGATTGAAGATTTAGTTTGATCTGAAGCATACCTCTGGATGAACTGTTTGCTGAAACATTCACTAGAGCTAAGCTGCATAGATATGAAGCTAAGGATCTAATGCAAGGAATCATTTCCATAGTTTTTCATTTCACATTTAGTTGTTCACTCAATAGATGCTGATCAAGATAAGTTGGGTTACAACTTCACTGTCAGAAGAAAATACTTTGGATATCATAAAGTTGGTATCAGACTCTTACTAGTATCCAACCTTCTGAAGAAGCACTTATGGGTTTGACGTTATTTAATTAAGCTAACACCTGTTGATAAAGCGCTTCTGGGCAAAGGCTGATTGTTGATGATCAGAAGAACTTACTAACATAACAGAAATAGTTATGGTTAGAAAGTCTGATCTCGTCAGAAGATTAAGCAGAAGCTTTGAAGGTTTCTGAAGCTAATTCAGAAAGGAAAATGTTCAGTGAAGATGTTGATACATGATTGTATCAGTTGCTGTTCACCATTCTCTGAACTCCTTTGATCTAGTGGAAGTATGAAGTTGATCTGTTGGAAAGTTGTTTCTAACGCTCTAGTTCTTCAATTTCAAGTTCAGACTTTGAAGATTTAAATCATGATTGATTTGATAACAAGCTTGGAATCAGAAACCATAGGTGGAGAAATCTAAGGTGATTTAGCAGAAGATTCTACTCCTTCTGTTGGTACTCAGAAGTTCTCACACCTTCAGTTGGATAAATTCTTGGTGCAAGAAGATATAGCTCTCATATTGAAACAAGTCATCTTGGAAGATATAGAGGCGTGATCAGTGAATGATCAGAAAATGAAGACCTAAGGAAGAATCTTATGAAGAATGTAACAGACAGAAGATTAATCTGTCAGAGAGTAGCCAGCTAAGACTCTCATGCATTCAACGTACACTCTGAGAAAGAAAGAGGTTAGTAAAATGGTAGATCAGAATCTCTACAAAGGTATGAGTTGTTCTCTTCTGTAGTTTACTGTTTCTATACCTGACATTCTTTTCAGTACATGTGTATGTGCTTGATTCCAATCAGATCCTAAAGAATCTCATTTAACAGTTGTTAAGAGATTTCTGAGGTATTTGAAAGGTACTACTAACGTGACTCTGTGTTGCAGAAAACCAGATAACTGTTTTTAGTAGGTTTCTGTTATGTTGATGTTACTAAAGACAGAGCTAGTTACAAAAGTACCTCTGAATAACACTCTCCCCTACAAAAGCAAAATACTGCTGATGCTGAGTGAAGTATCAGATGCTCTGGATGAAGTATCAAATGAAGGACATTCATTTCTATAAGATTGAAGGATCAGAATGCAAATTGTTGACACACCACCTTCAATTCATATCAGATGCTGTTTAAAGATCTGAGCAAATATGAAGTCGTAAACTATCAGAAGTTTTGGATCATTTGGAGATCTGGATAAAAGATTCAACTAGAAGATGGCTTGTTAAATCAAATGTTGATACCTCTGAAGTATAGTGTTTTGATGTTGAAGAAACAAGCTGAAATAGTTTCATTATTTCACACCTTCAATTCGTATCTTATACCTTCAATTGGTATCTTACATCTTAAATTGGTATCATGTCTCTGACATCCAACCAGAAGCAAAGCGTCAAATGACTCTGAGCGAAACTTCAGAAGATGTTTGAATGAAGACACAGAAGGTTCTGGGCGCAGAACTTTGAAGCAAAAATTCAGAGTAAACCACTAGCACAAACCTCTGAATTTCACACCTCAATTGGGTATCAAACCTTTCAAAAGAAAGAATCAAAGCAAGGCCAGAACAAGCACTTCAACTCTGGAACTTGAGAATTCTTGAGATATTTCTTCAATTGGTATTAGACTCTGAAATTGGATATATTTCAAGTTGTTCTAAGGACTGGAATAATTAGTATCAAGATCAAGCCAGAAGGAAGAAGGAATTTCAACTTTCTTGTCTAAATCTAGCAGAAGAAGATTCCTGGAAAGAAACTTCCAGATTGGTACAAGAAGCTGAAGATGCTAAGAAGACTAAGCAAATTGTTATAGTTGGTTCTTCTTCTGAAATTAATCTTGTACATTGAGAACGTGACATTAGTAAGTATAGAGGAGATCAACAAGCTGTGAAGGATGTACAAGTTGTCAGAGAAAGATATGTTGATCAGAAACTTGTCAACAATCCTCGTCAGAGCATGCTTCTACAAACTCTGAAGAGTTGTCACTCTCCAAGAAGCAGGGGGAGATATAGAACATGAAATCTGGAAAAAATATCAACCTACCTTATTGGTATCAACCTATAAGAAGTAAGTTCTCAGGGGGAGAAATGAAAGATGATTAAGTTCTCAGGTGCTATCTTTCAACTCCTATCTTTTTAATTTCTGACATTAAAAAGAGAGAAATATTTTTTCTTAAAATCTATTTTTTCAATGAAAAACTCTAACTTTTTGATGATGTCAAAAAGGGGGAGAAATGAAGATGATTTTGATATAATCTGGAATAATAGTATATAACAGGGAAAATGAAATGGGGAGAAATGAAATATGTTTTTAATATAACTCGGGGAGAAATGGAAAATGTTTTTGAGGAATAGAATATAGCTTTGATATATTCTATAACCTGAAAGAGAATGCAAAACATATAAACTGTGTTTATTACTAAATGTGTGTTTGATGTTTTTCTAAGGAACTCTGAACAAGTTCAGTAGGCATTCTAAACAGGATAATTGAAAGAAATCTGAGCTCAAATGAACTGGTGTTCATATAATAGAATTTATACACTTAGTGAACATAGATTCAGAATCAGATGGACCCAATACTGTTCAGAGATCTGAAAGTTAAAGTCATATGGAATTAGAATGTTCAGAAGATGTAAATTGTCTGTGAATATGATAATCAGAGCATAAGAATCAGAAATCTTCATAGAAGCAAGATTTCGGTTTCAAGCCCATTGTTGTTGGTTATTGTAGAAAGTACGGTTGTGTTTGTGGTAAGGTTTGCAGGTCGTATTGTGTTGTTGCACAACGTTTGTTTTCATGGTGCAGGCTGCGGTTTAGGCAGGTTGGAGCAAGAAGTTTGGCATGGTTGTAGCAGTGTGTTCAGGCTTGTTCTGTTGATGTGCAGATTTTGTCTTGGAGTGGTAGCAAGTTGTAAATTTAGTTTGGAGCAGTGATGCGCGTGACTCATTTGTGATAGCAGAGCCTCGGTTTTGTTATTTTGTGCAGAAGTTTTGATTGGAAAGAGTGTCTTGGAAGTATGACCAACAGAATTGGCATGTTATTTAGAGTTGTTTTTCAAAGACTGTAGGTCTCATGGCTTTTTTCTATTAGGCAGGATTTGTTTTACAATGGAAAGGGTGTATAGCAGAATTTTTCACCCATATACCCTACAAAACACCCCCTAAATCCCAAACTACCCAACATTTCCCCATATATCCCAATCTACCCATGTTTGGGTTTTTTTTTTTTAATTTTATACAAGGGGGCGCCATGGGGGTTGGAGCCTCCCTTATAATTTGTATGGGGGCGCCATGGGGGTTGGAGCCACCCTACAAATTATAAAGGGGGCGCCATACCCATTGGAGCCTCCCTTAAATGCCCTAAAGGGGGGCGTCGTGCCCCATGGAGCCTCCTTTAAACGAAATTTTCAAAATAAAAAATATTATAATTAATAGAATTAAAATTTAATATTATGTTATTCCAAATTTTTTTTTATAAATAGGTAGAGTTGTTGGTAATATTGGTTCATCCAAATTTAGAAGAGTTGGTAACATTGGTATTTTTAATGATATGCGTTGTTACTCTAGAAGTATTTCAATTTGTGTATGTGGTAACCAAAAGTTGTTATAAATATTAAATTCCAAGGTTACACATTTTTTAATTTAAATGACAAAAGTAAATCTATCTAGAACTTGTTCCAACATTTGGACAATTATTCCTCGTATGCAAGACGACATGTTCCGCACAATCTTTCCAGTTTCTCAGTTGTATCCATTTCAGTTGTAATTCGGGTGCTTTTTGGGCGGCCCTTTTTGTTTCTTCTCATATTTTCGTTGTGGTAGATTGTGTCTCCATGATATGTTGTCCAATAGTCCTTACTAGCTACCACTGGAAAACTGTTATTGTAGATACCGAATAAGTTCACAACCTTGTAAACATCTGATAGCAGCAAGAATGGATCGTGACGAGCACTGGAACATGCGGCAATGACATGTGAACAAGGCATTCGGAAGGTTTGAAACTTTCCGCAGTCGCACCAATTTTTATGAAGTTCCACCCTGTAGTGTCCCATTGGCCGACCCTCGTTATGATCCATTGTCTCGTCAACAATGAAGCTGTAATCGTGACGATCAAATGGTCTGACTCGATGTGAGGCTGCCTTAGAAGTTTCATCCTTCATATATTTCATACTTGATTCGCTGAATAATTGCCCTGATTATAAAATAGCACTCCATTTTTTGCCTCTTGACGCAAAAAGTGAGCCCAATCTGTAATAGGTAGCTCTTACCAACGCAGTGATGGGGAGGTTCCTAGTTCCCTTAAATACGCCGTTTAAGGATTCTACAAGATTTGTGGTCATGTGACCCCATCTGCATCCTCCATCAAAAGCCCTTGTCCATTTCTCGACTGGAATGTTATCCACCCATCTTAATGCTTCTGCGCTCGACAATCTTATTTCTTCACGGTAATACATGAACGATGGTTGGTTTAAGGAATACCCAGCGTTCACAACTTTTTTCGGAGATTTCTGTCCTTAATGTCCCACATAAAATTCTGGGCAATGTGTCTTATGCAAAAGACATGGACAGAAGGAGGATTGTGCCAACCATTTGCAGGATTGTTGTAGGCGCTCACAATGGAAGCATGTCTGTCGGAAATCAGACATAAGTTGGGTTGAGGAGCAACATGTGTTCTAAGATTTCTAAGGAAGAAACTCCAAGCTTCGCCTGTCTCACCCTCGACCAAGCCAAAGGCAATCGGAAATATATTATTATTTCCGTCTTGTGCAACTGCCATCAACAATGTTCCTTTGTATTTTCCATCGCATCGAGGAACACCAAGCAACATCGCGTCGTATGTAAGTATTTCTACTTGATAATTCACAATGTTGTATTTATTCGTAGCATTATAATGCATTTACAATGTTCTAATGATATGTTTTATTATTTTTTGTAACAAATACAATGTTCTAATGATATGTTTTATTTTTTTGTAGGATACTCATGAATTTCGTACTCGTGGGCATAAATATTTCCCACATGATCCGTTAATTCAACCTTTTTTGGAGCGAGTAGGTTTTGGAGAGGTCGTTAAGATAACAAATTATCTCATTGATTCTAAGTTTATTTTGGCTTTGCAAGAAAGGTGGCGACCCGAGACGCACACATTTCATCTTCCAATAGGTGAATGTGCAGTTACACTCGAGGACACATACATGTTATTGGGTTTACCCATTCATGGTAAGGCGGTAAACGGTACAACCAATCCTACCGGTAATTTCATAGGAGAACTCTTGGGGGTTGAACCAACCCCACGAGATTTGAGGGGACAAAAAATTTTAATGTCATGGCTCAAAAGAATTTATAGAGACTTGACATTAACCCCCGATTCTCCTGAAATTCTAAATATTAGAAAAACCCGAATTTATATAATGCTATTAATAGGGTTATTTTTATGTCCGGATACAAGTGGAAGCGCCGTTCACTCTATGTACTTACCTTTATTAGATGACGTAGATAAAATAAAAACATATAGTTGGGGGTCCGCTACACTAGCGCACCTATATCGGTCTTTATGTCATAACTCAATAGCCAATACCGGAAATTGGACCGGATGTGGTGTTCTTCTACAATCTTGGGGTTGGTCAAGAATGACCAATCTAGCACCTATCCAACAAAGTCAGTTTGAATTCCCATTCGCTAAAAGGTAATTATTTTTTCCAATTCTCATTTATCTATCATAGTCTTTTTATTTATTAATCATATTATTAATAAATTTTATTGTTTTCGATTTGTAGGTGGTCTTCACTTGGAATGAATTATGACAATTGTCCCCACTTCAGTATAACGCAGTACCGAAATCTTATTGATCACTTGGCGCAAGAAGATGTAAACTCACTCACCTACCTATTTATGTTATACTCTCCTTGAATATTATTAGAAAATACTAAACATTATTTTTTTCATCCTTCAGTTCATTTGGCGGCCGTATCTTGGTCTAGAAGCATTTCATCAAGTTGAACAACAAGAGTCTGCGGTGTGGAGGGCAAAGGTGCCCATTATCAACTTCACCACCGTCGAAATGCACAACAGTGATCGTGTGAAACTTCAATTTGGAATGCTTCAAGATATTCCATGTCCCCCAAAGTGCATACCCGACAAATATCACAACGGTAAAGTCTCCGACTAATGGGAATATAATCCGTGGACCAAGTATGCAAAACACGAGTGTCGTGAATGGAGGCATCGCAACGACTATGTTTTGTCCGACAATGTGTTTCCATACTAGATGAAACAATCTATACAATACATGACTTGGTATAAGTCTGTATCAATTGGTTTCATTTCACATCCAAGGTATCTTAATGACCCACGCCAATAACCATCATCATCAAGGCCCCAACAACCAACCCAGCCCTATTTCCAACCGCCAACCCAACCCCATTTCCAACCGCCAACCCAACCCCATTTCCAACCCCCACTCACACAATCACAACCATATGAACATACTCCTAACCAATTCACTCCATTCACACAAACTCATTCACAATCCGAATACCAACAACATCCACCACAATACCACACATACTCCCAGTTTCAAACACCCAGTTAACCCATACCCACCCAAACCTTTACACCCATCTCACCTTACGATCAGGCAGGTTATCGTCCTACATTGCCTCATCCAGCCAACCACCCCAAAATAATTATGAAGGCATGGGCAACCCTTTTAATTTGGATGACTTTACGGATATGGACTCTTTATGGGCCGAAGTGATGCAAATGCTTGATGACGACACAATGGATCCGACTCCACCACAAAGACCACCAAGAAACGTACGTAATCGAGGATGCGGTACGGGCGGACATTTAAATCGACCGAGTCGTAGAAATTAGTGTACAAGATCTTTCAAATGTAGCCATTTGTATGTGATTAAATTTATTTAATCCAATTTAATTTTTATTTGTTGTTTGGAATTTATTAATGAAAATATTAATTATTATTTATTTATAAATTGTTAAAAATATAAAACATTAAAAATATTAAAATATAAATTGTTAAAAATTATTCAGAAATTATTATTTACAAAATTATTATTTTTAAAATTTTTTTAAATTATTAAAAATTATTTATTAAATATTTTTAAACTAATTAAACATTAAAAATAATTTTGAAAATTTCGTTTAAGGGAGGCTCCAATGGGTATGGCGCCCCCTTTATAATTTGTAGGGTGGCTCCAACCCCCATGGCGCCCCCTTGTATAAAATTAAAAAAAAAAACGCAAACATGGGTAGATTGGGATATATGGGGAAATGTTGGGTAGTTTGGGATTTAGGTGGAGAAATGTAGGGTATATGGGTGAAAAATTCTGTATAGCATGTTGTTGGAGAGTTTTTGTATTGTAGTGACATGTGACAATTTTTTTTTGTTGAAATAAAGTAGATTTATTATTATTATTATTATTATTATTATTATTATTATTATTATTATTATTATTATTATTATTATATATTTTTAATTCTTTTTGGTTGTAATATGAAAGATAAATACACATGGGGTGATTTTGTAAATGGACTTTTCAAATAATTTGTGTCATGGCCTTGTTGTTTTGGATTATAGTTGAAATAAAAAAAGGATATTTAATGGATGGATTTAATGATTTTGTTTAGAGAAAAATGGATATTGAAATTTGTTTTGTGTGTAAAATGAATTTATGAATGGAATTGTTTGGATAATTATGGAATGTGGATTTGAAATTGAATGGAATTTTGCGAATTGATGTGAGATTTAAAATTTGAAAATTGGTCATGGATTAGAAATTTGCGAAAAAATAATGGATAACTAAAATAGATAATTGAAAGAGAAAGTGGATAACAATGTGGATTTAGGAAGAATGGATATGGACTTGAATTTTGAACTTTACCACTTGAAACACGAGGAATAAAAACCTTCACGGTGAAATCTCTTTAGACAATATAAACTTCCATGAGTATTTCTTGAACCTAAATGCACTTCACATAATCCTAAATGGCAAGGCCCTGATCCTTAGTAACCATGAAACACCTGACCTACACACAACCTGATAACTTGATTCACATACAAATAACCTGCATTGACACATAAACCTTAACTGAAACTTCAGACACAACCACTTGAATCAATCACACCCTGGCTTTGATCTTGAAACGAAACTTGCACTGATAAGCTTGAATAAGACTCAAATCATGATCCACAGAATGATCCGCAACCGTAACAATTGTCATTTGAATCACAATTCTCTGAATTTCTGATCAATAAGTTTTGAATCACGTTGAATCTCTTAATCAATCTCTGGATTGAAGGTAGGAAAACACTTAGAAGGGGGGTTGAATAAGGGGTTTTCTAAAACAATTATGACAATATAAAATAACAAGTTATTTTTATCCTGGTTCGTTTGAACTCAAACTACTTCAGTCCACCCGGCCAAGGTGATTTCACCTCTCTCAAACGAGGACTTAATCCACTAAATCAAAACTTGATTACAGTGATATCCACTAAGACAACTGTCTTAGTCTTCTCAAGAATCCTGACCACAACTTGGTCTCTCAAGGAACTTTTACAAAGTAAAATAAATGTGTTTAAGGTGCTTCTAAAAAGCTATTATCACAACTATGATTTTTACACAAATGAAGAACAAATAAACTTATGTGTTTAAGAAAGTTGTTTGAATATTCTTTGATTGCTTTGTGGAATTCTCCTTTTGAATTTATTCTGTCAAAATTGTTGTCGTTGAAGTGTTGATGAAGACTTCTTTATATACACCACTTTCTCAATAGTGTGTAGAAGAAAGTACTGTAGGATGTAGACATAAAGGACAAATATTTTTCGTCTTGATTTGACATTCCCTTTTTGCCTGAATTCCTGTGTCATGCATGAATGAGAAATAGTACCGTTGGTAGACCTTGAGTTTAACAACGTCTCTTTCTTGAACACTTCCTTTTCATATGAACATATATGAAAAATAATCTTGCATCAGATCCTCTGATGTTGTTCCTTGTTCTTCTTATCAGAGTCACTCTATCCAGAGTCTTGCAGCAAAGTGCTTAGCGTGAATTATGATCAGAGTTGACTTGATTCAAAGCCTCTATACTTGCAGCGTTTACTTCTCAGAGTCTTCTGAATATTCTGAGTCTTTATACTCTGCACTCAGAGTCTTCTGGAAGGTAGCGCTTCAGAGTCTTCTGTGCTTCTGGGGCTTCAGAGTTTTCTGCAGGTAGCGCTTCAGAGTCTTCAGCTAGCGCTTCAGAGTCTTCTGCAACTTGCGCTTCAGAGTCTTCAGCTAGCGCTTCAGAGTCTTCTGCAACTGTATTTCCTTCGCTCAGAGCCTTGCATTATGATGTTAAGAGCTTTGCTTTAAATAATGTTCAGAGGAATTCTTTGTCTTTAGATGAATATTTATTTGATATCTGAAACAAAAACACTTGAACATAATTAGAGTATATATTTTCTTATACAAAATTTGATTAATGTTATCATCAAAACATTGAGATATATTAAGAACCAATCTGTGTTCTAACAATCTCCCCCTTTTTAATGATGACAAAAACTATACGAAATTTTGTTCAAAACAAGAAAAAAATATATCTCCCCCTGAGATTATGAATCTCCCCCTGAAATGAATACTATTAGAAAAAATAAATACTTCCCTTTCAGCACTAGTGTCGCTTGCGCGAAAATAAGGTGCCGGCAAAACAGAAGATTCGCCACCTTTCGTTATTTATCCCTCAGAGCGGGAAAGGAAACGATCGGAAAAACCTGACGAAAAAGGGTAAGACAAGGTCGTCGCAACCATTGTCTGGGTTCGGGAGTCGGTTACGCAAGGGGAAGGTATTAGCACCCCTCACGTCCGTCGTACTCGACGGGATCCTCGCTTGTTTGTTTACTTGGACGGGTTGGTTATAATCTATCTACCTATCAAGGCTGGCTGAAAAAGAAAAGAAACATGACTCGGCAAAGCGTCGCGCTTTATGCCTACGTATTCTCATCAGAGAATGAGAAATCAGAGTCAACGTAGTTCGGCTAACTACGGGGGAAGGTTGAAGGTTGCTCGCTAGGACGTCGCATCCTATGCCTACGTACTTTCATCTGGTATGAAAGATCAGAGCAAACGGAGTTCGGGAAACTACGGGTTATCTCCTAAAAGAAGTGTTTTTTATTGTGTTTGCGATTTCAACCGCACTAGAGACTATGACCTGAGAGTGAATGCGTCGCATGTCACCCAAAGGGTACCATACTAAACATCCAGACTGTGGAAAAGAAACTCTCCCACAATCCTTTCTCAGGTAGCTTAAGGCTCGTAACGCACGAAAGAAATCATTCATGATTACTGTATTGTAATACCCCAAATTTTACCCTTTCTTTTTTTATTTTTATTTTAAATTCTGATTAACTTAATAAATTAACCTTTTTTTTTAAATCTTGTTTTTTTAATTAATAATAATTTAATTAAATTTTTTTTATAACTTTACTAATGTTTTTTATTAACTTTTTTTTTTCTATTTAGTTTATTTATTTAAATCATTTTAAGCTCTTCTTACTAACTTTTAGGATTTAGATTAAAATTTAACTTTTTCTTTTCTTTTCTTCAAGAGTAAATTTTTTATAACCTTTTTAAATTAATTTCTAACACATTTTTTTAATCAAATTCTATTACCTTTTTAAAATTAAATCTATTTCTAACTTTTTTTAAGTTAAATCTTTTTTTCTATTTTTTTTAAAAAAATCAAATCTTTTTTCTAACTATTTTAAAAGTTAAATCCTTTTTTTTCTACCTTTTAAAGTTAAATCTTTTGTTTCTAACCTTTTTAAAGCTAAATCTTTTTTTTTTTAACTTTTTTAAAAGTTAAATCTTTTTTTTCTAACTCTTTTTAAAAAATTAAATCTTTTTTTTTCTCTAACTTCTTTTTAAAATTAAATCTTTTTTCTTTAACTTCTTTTTAAAATTAAATCTTTTTTTTCTAACTATTTTAAAAATTAAATCTAACCTTTTTTTTTATAAATTAAATCTATCCTTTTTTTTAAAATTAAATCTAAATCTTTTTTTGACACCTTTATTTTTCAAATTAAAATTCTAAATTCTTTTTAAAATTAAATTCTAACGCCCTTTTCTTTTTCTTTTTTTTTAAATTCTAAATTCCTTTTAAAATGAA